TCAAAGCATAAATCGTACTTTCGTACGAGATTAAATAATTCAAGAGCGTTATTTTTTAGAATTAATTATTTATTAGTATTATTTTTTAGTATTCCTTATTATTGACGTTGAAACTTAAAATAAACTAAAATTTGTGTAACAAAATAGAAAACAATAAACTGAAAAACTAAATTTAATAAATATAATATAATATATATATATATATATATATTATAATATAATGCATTTTTGGCATTTGTTTATTGCCGTTGCTAAGGAATGCATTTATACGTATCTCACAGACGCATAATGGTATTAATTCTGTGTAGGTGCTCGAAAAATTGACAAATGCATATATGCGTCCTTAGTCCATGCCGAACACTTACAGAAAGTGCATATATGCGTCCTTAGTCCATACCGATAGCTTCCGACAGACGCATATATGCGTCTGTAGCAGTCAAAGGGTTAACGAATGCAAAGGATTTAATAATAAAAACAAACAAACAACACAATACAAYACAGCAAATTCGAATTGTTAAAATGTCTCAAAGAATAATAAATTATCAAAGAAAGAAAACAATGTCGCAGCATTTAAAGAAAGTAATCTTAAGAATATATAAACATTGAGTTTAATTAATACCTTCCGTATTTTAATTTATATAATCAAATTTAGAAATGATTTGGTTTTCTTTTTGTTTTTTTTTTTGTAGTATATATTATTAATGGTCATGTATTGGAGAATGATTTGATTTGTTTCTTATTTGAAATTTATTGTACATTTATTATTATTATATTAGTAGTCATGTTTTTATTAATGTATATCCGATGCCAACCGACAAGACTCTCTCGAATTGTTATGTACGATACGTTGGAGGAAAAAAAAAAAAAAAGAAAAAAGAAATGAAAGAAAAAAAGACAAAACAAACAAAATTGCTTTCGTTAATTCCTATATTTAATTTGTGTCTTTTTGTGTTAAGAGGATAAACATCAAGATTTATTTAATTTCATTTTGTTTTTTTTTTTTTTTGTAGATCTTGTTGTTAATTAGAATTTCTTTTTTTTTTTCCACGCGTATCGGGGTGCTCGTATTAATCGTATTTTTTTTTTTTTTTCATCAAAAATGGTGTTTAAGAGAAACAAAATCATGTGGTTAAATTAAATTAAATTAAATTAAATTAATATAATATAGAATGATATGATAAATCACATATTAGAAAAATTTGCAAAAAATTCATTTGTCATCGAAGGTAGAATATTAAAAATGAAAATGAAAATAAATTTGTGAGTCTGATAATTTCTAATTCGTTATATACCAGTATAGTGTTGTGTTACAATGTCAAATATGAAGAACACTGTAAAACAAAAAAACAAAAGTTATTTTATATTAAAACTGTCATCGATAGTAGGCTTCTTCAGACTCCTGTTAAAAATTTTAACAGAAACAAAAAAAAAAAATATATATATATATATATATATATAACCGTAAACGGAATAATTGATTTATTTTTGTTGATACGCATAAAACGATAAGAATACATTAATAGAAGAAATATAGATGGATGATAATTTGTGTATCAAAAAAGAGATCCCCTTTATCATATATTATATCTTTCTTCATTACGTGTCACGTTGTTTGTTCGCAATGGATTCCTAAATTACTGAACCGATTTTAATCAAATTTTGTACAATTTGTGCAATTTCATTCAACTTAAAAGATAGGATAGTTTATATATATATATATATCACTGATAATAAGTTATTTTTTTAAAATCGCACGAAAATAAAATTCTTTGATTAATTATCATTTAAATAAAAAAGAAACAACAACAAAAATAAGAGAGAGAGTAAGAAAAGATATCGGTGCAAACCAAAATTGTGTCTCCTCCCCCGACATTTTCGACGAACGAAAGTTCTTCATATAAAAGAAAAATAAAAAAACAAAAAAAACCTTTTTTTCTTAAACGTAAGAAGGACAGACACCTCGTCTCGACGAATTTATGAGACACTTTGGTGTCACAAGTATGAATAGGTAAAAAAAAAAAAATTTAAAAACAAAAAAAAAAGAAGATTAAAAAAAAAACCCATGATTGAGACTGTTGTGTGTAAAACATGTATTTGCGATGAAAGACTTTTGTGTATATGATGTGTGTGTGTAAATGTGTGTATGTTTGTGCGTCGCGTGTTGCGTATAATACGGGAGTGTTCTACGATCACACCGTTTTGTAAGTTAATTGTAAATGTAAATTATTTTTAGGTACTCTACCATGTGCAACACAACTTACATACACAACCACGTACTATATACATATAATAATTTTAATTTTTATGTGAATTTTTCTTTTTTTTTTTTTTTGAATAAGACTTTAAGTTAAATCTGCTGAAAGAGAAGAACATTCTATTTCTTTTTTCTCTCTGATATTTTCTTTTTAAAAAAACATTTACAGTTTTTTTTTTTTTCCAAAAAAATTCACATAAAACGTAAAAGCTTTCACTCTCTCTTTCTCTCTCTATCTCTATCACTCTTTATATATATATATATATATACATCATCTTTTTCTCTCTCACATGTACTTTCGTTTACGTTCTTTTTGTTTTTTATTTTTTTATTTTTTTTTTTCATTAACTCGAAGAGAGAATTAATTAATTAAATAAATAAATAAAAGAAACGTAAAATGGGGGATGATACCGTTTCCGTATTCGGTTGTAAATATAGCGTATATACTAATAATGAATAACGATAAAGAAAAATAGCCTTAGGGATATTGCTAAATATTATTATTATTATTATTATTATCACTATTAATATTAAACATTACTATTATGCGATAGCTTTAATAATTAATATTTATCATGCGATCGACAGTTAAAATAAAAAAATACCAACGACATTATACCTGTTGTGACTATTTTACTCTAACCAATAATGATTGCACACGATGACAACAATACGTCGGAATTTATGTTAAATAATTATACATATATATATATATACATATATATATATGTAATGTATGCATCAGTAGGTGGAACGAAAGCTCTGCAATGTAAACACATGCAGTATATATACATATACATACTTAAATATATTTTAAACACGTTGAGTGTCATGTGAATTCTTAAAGAAATTCTTGTCAGGCCACAGGTGTTACTTTGCATTGAAAAATAATTGAACGTGTCAGTCACTTATGACTGACGCGGCCTAAATGAAGAGACTAATGTCAGGCATCGATGACTGACATGGCGCTCAACGTGTTTAATGATAAGAAAGTTGCTGATAAAAGCTCATCGAAGGTGAAGAATTATAGTTAAACAATTTTGATAAGTTTGAATGATTAATAATAATAATAATTAAATTGTTGTTGGGGTCGTGCAAGGAGTTGAAGAAGACACACACACACAAATACACACCATCTTGATAGATAAAAAGAATTTTCTCATGAGTTTATAAAAGTATAGTCAGAAGATAACTTTCCCTTTCTCATGAAAAAGAATTTTTATCTTTGCTAGCTAATCTACAACCAGTACCGTAAAACGATACACGTTTTTATCCGTCCGGTGAATCCGGGTATGMTAAATATAATAATAATAATAATTATATCAAATCGTCTTAACAAATCAAATTTTTTTTACTCAAAATCAATCATTTTGATTATTTTTTCTTTTAAATAAAAAAAAAAAATTCATTCTGTGTTTTATATTTCACTGTATAAAAATATATTATTAACAATTGAATAGTTTTGAGTTTCGTGAAACAATAAAAAGGAAATCAATTTTTATTTATTAATATACACACACAGATACATACACAAAAAGCATACGCGGCACGTGCTTGTATTTAAACATCATTTAATTATTATTATTATTATTATTTTATTATTTAATTATTTTTTAATTAAATAATACAAATTGATTCGTTGTACGAATATTAATCTGAAAAATCAAATTATTTTTATTGTGCATATAAAATACGGTTGCTGTTATATATATATATATATATATGTATGTATATATTTACATGATTTATTTTTGTTTTTTTTTTTTAAACATTCACACGTGTCTTTATTTTTCTTATATTGAAATGAAATGTCTAAATTCTAACGTGACAATGAAATATTTTATTTCTTATATATATATGTATTGCAATATTTAAATGAAAAAAAAAAAAAAAAAAAATGTTCTTCTATGTACATCAAATATGGCGACGATATACAGGATGTGTTTCATAATATGAGGTTAGGATACAAAAACAATGTTACAATTACTCTTCAATTTTGATTTTCGTTGAAAAATTATTGGAACACCGTATAGAATAAGTGTACACTCTTTGTATACAACCTTTTACAAATTTTAATCGCACCTTTTCACACCTGTCTCAAATTTCTAAAAAAAAATTGCTCTACAATCAAACACACAACTTTTGATTTCTTCTTTTAATTAGTTTCATTCATTCATTTTATTAAACATGGTTAACATTATTTCATTTCAATGATTTAACAAGAATTATTCATCCAAAATAATTAAAAACATTGATTAAGTAAATTTGTATCATTGTTTTAGTATCCGTTGTTTAATTTAGAAAAAAAGAAACACCCTGTATATAATTAATTGATAAATTATAAGTATAAATTCGTGAAAAAATCATAATTTTTCATTGGTTCAACTATCTAAGGCACATTTTAATTTATAATAATTCATTTCTATCATTTTACTATATTCAAATATTTTTTTAATACTAATCGTAATCGTTTAAAATTCTAATATGTCCTCCATTTTCAAATATGTCCTCCATTTTCCAAAAAAAGAAAAAAAAAACCAAAAATAAGAGAAGATGAGGACATAAAAGATTGAAAAATGTACAAAACAAAAGTATAAAAATTTGTTAGAGTATGCTGTCCTTGATGACGTTCTCTGATGCGTCAAATGCCTTTTTCCTGTTGGCTATAGCATTAGTAAGCTTTCTCCTAGGTCCCAACGGAAGTTTGAGGGCTGCAATGTCCGCATCGGTGAGTAACATCAATGCTTCCAAATCAATTTGTTCAGCTTCTAAGATCGTATGTATCGATGATAAATTATTTGCAACTAAAAATCTTTGCAAGGGTGTCCATTCCTCGTCTGTTTCGTCATCTTCTGTTTAAAACAAAAGAAATAGGTTATAAAAACACAAGTACACAATTACAATTATTGTAATAGTTTTATTTTGAATATTGGGTTGACAACTAAATGATTAGTGATTTGAAAAAGCCATCTATCGACAAAATGACAAAGTAACCGAGGATTTTGTCGATAAATGGCTTTTTCAAATCATCAATCACTTAGTTGTCAACACAAAAGTATTAAAGGGATACCAAATTGTATTTTTTATGTAAACAAATAATAAAAAGGTGTCCCTAAAGATTACAATCTTTGAACGTAATACACGTGTTTTATTTTTTGTGATTAGTTTGTTTTCTTTTGGTTTCAATTTCAAGGTATATCCTTTTAAGTATTTTTTTGTCAAGTAACACAAATGTTACAATGAACTCCATGCTGTTCTTTTCAACGGTAGAAGCTCATTGTATTCGATTTTATCGGTTTTTAAAAATCAGGAATTGTTGTCAACCCAATAGTGAGGGATAGTAAATTATATTTTTTATGTAAACAAACAATAAAAGGATGTCCCTAAAGATTACCATCTTTGAACGTAATACACGTGTTTTATTTTTTCTGGTTAGTTTGTTTTCTTTTGGTTTCAATTTTAAGGTATATCCTTTTAAGTATTTTTTTGTCAAGTAACACAAATGTTACAATGGACTCCATGCTGTTCTTTTGAACGATAGAAGCTCATTGTATTCGAGTTTACCTCCTACTGCGTGAAAAACAAATTATTTCTTATTTAGAATGTATTTTTCTTCTATTTTGACGTGTTAGATAAAATCAACAATCTTCAGGTAGTGAAGTATCAATGATTATGATACTTTATTGTTAATGATGAAAGCTATTGACAAAATTTTAGGTATACATTTTCACATCCAATATTTTGACAAAGTGATGATAGAAAAATACAACGTTACAAATGGAATTATTACAAATTACGTGTCCCATTATTTCGGAATTTTTATATACAATCGTAAAAGGAAACATTTTATCAGAAATGTTAAACACACAAACTTACCTGATAATAATTCATCGTCCCACATGCTTTGTCTACGTGCTAAGCTACCCGCACTTCCTATACTAATCTCCTCATTTTGACCATTTGCAACGATCCTGTGACCATTCGTAGAACCATTTATCGAACCATTCACGCACGAACCATTACCGTTCTGCAGATGAACGTCTGTTTGCGTGACAGGCAAATTGTCGAGCGTTGCTGTTATCTGAAAACAAAAATACAATCAAAATCAAAGAATACAAATGATGATTAAAATTTCAACAAAAATTTGATTGGCTTAAATTTTCATCCAAAAATTAACCTAATTAGTTAGAATCCATTAATTGTTTCATTGTTGAATTAAATATTGAATTTTAATTAGATACAAATTAATCATCCATTTAATTTAAGATAAAAGTAATAATATTCAAGATGGCGTCGAAGCGTAAACATTTACGATTTAACAGCGTGAAGATCGTTTACTACACAACAACCCTGCATAATAGTTCTTCCTCGTGACGCTAGAGTAATCACGAAAATGTGATAATTTGACTTGCAGAAAAACACGATTCGAATCTTCGCTTGGCCTTGGAATCGGTATCTTTTGAAACGTGTATTTTATTTCAATACATTCGTGATATATATATATAAATATTTTACGAATAATATTTAATATCAAAATAATTCCCAAACAAAATGTCATAAGCGCGTCAAATATGTCATAAAAATAATTGATAAAATAAATATTTGTCATGATTTAAACCAAAGTTAATCAACTTTTGTGAAATAGTTAAATATGTACAAGAATAAAATAGAAACATGATTCCATATTTAACAGAACTTACCGGTCTTCTGAATGCAACCGATCCAAAACCAGGTCGATCAAAGATACTCCCTTGTTCACGAAGTATTCCAATATCTCTGACAATCTTGTTAGATCGTTCCTCATCTTGACCATCTTCATCCTCATCTTCCTCGTCACATGAACGATCACCCAAAAGATCCGGTGTACTTTGTGCCTTGCTTAACGTACCCCAAACATCTGCTATCTTTCCTCTTCTTCCAATTTGTTGAGCCTGTGATTCGTACGTTCCCACGTACATTATTTCCGAATCCCTTCTAAGACCGGTCAAACTACGTACGGATTTTCTACCGTCTACTTCAATCTAAAAAAAAAAAAAAGAATCAATTTCATTGATCCATTGGACAATTGGTGTCATCATTGAAACAAAATCATTTTACGTACTTCGATTATCTTAAAATCATCAACAGCCTTTTTAGCCAAAGCTTTTCTACAAACAGCACTACCATGTTTCTTCGTAGTGGTACCAACTATATCGCTAAACGTTGGAGAAGGTTTGATACGACCTTTGAAAGTCATTAATGCTGGCCTGTGAGCTAGAATATTGGTCTCGTGTAAAGTATCCAGATCAGATTTCGATCGATCCTTCAACAATTTCTTTTGTACCTTTTCTGCTTTTACCTCGGCCATCTTTTGTTTCTTCATGTATTCTTTCAACCTTGTAAAATGTCAATTTAGGTTAAAGATTGTTAAGTCAAAAAAGCACACACACACACAACAAATACAAAAACAAATCACCTTTTCTCAGCATCCTTCTCAGCTTTTTCTCTCAACAAACGACTCTTTTTTCGATTATTCAATTCCTGATCGGACTGTGCCAAATCTAAAAATTGCAATATCCTTTCCCTGCCATTGATCGCTGCCAATTCTCTAGCAGAATGTCTGTCTATGTCCAATGACCAAATGTTGCAACCAAATTTGACGAGAAATTTGACGCAATATTCGTGACCCCTTGCTGCCGCTAGATGAAGAGCTGTATTACCGAAATAATCGCTTTTGTCCGGGTCACCCCTGTCAATAAAAAAAGCTCTGGCTAAACTTCGACAATGAGGGGGTCGAGATGAAGGAAAAGGGAAGCCTTCTTCCCCTTTTTACGTGCTCGTTTATTTCCCGTCACGCGATTTGGACACGCAAAGTGGAATCGAAATAGTTTGCATATGAATTTAAATATGAACGATATGAACATTTATCTGTGTATGTGTGTATTTAAGGGAATATAAACAAATGTTAACACGTTGAGGGTAACACGAATTCTTAGAGAAATTCTTGTCAGGCCACAGGTCTTACTTTGTATTGAAAAATAGTTGAAGGTGTCAGTCATCGGTGATGGACGCGGCCTGAATTGAAAGTCTAGCGTCAGTCACCGATGGCTGACGTGGCGCTCAACGTGTTGATAACAAAAAGGAAAGAACGAATTTACAAAAATTATGATAAGTTATTATGATATTTCACGATTTGCTATTCGATCGTATATGGTTGTTCGATATCGCGATAATTAAGCGTGCAGGAGAATCTGAGACAGTTCAGTCGGCCGGTGGTCAGACTTCGGAATACCGGTTTTGTGAGGCACGCGTGCGAATCGAGTCAGATCTCGATGGTACACCTTTTAAAGTTCCTGCTTTCGAATAACAAGTTATCTCTTTTTTTCTCTCTCTCTCTCTCTCTCTCTCTCTCTCCTGATAATTCTTAAACAACTTTTTTCTTTTTTTTTTGTATTTTTTATTTCCAAGATTATACGCAATTTATTTTGTAACACATTTTTCATTCGTTCTCGTACTAACCTGTTCGAATAAATTAAAAGAACATTTTTTTTTTTTTTTTAAAGAATTCGATCAAATGACAGTTTACAGTGAATACATAAAATTTATTTTATAATTTTTCTAAATATTTTATGATTATTAAGCAGTCCAGTTTGATAATTATCAAAATACAGGTTGATTCTTTCCTGCATACTATAATATAACCTATATATATATAGGGTTTTTTCAATGAAAATTATTTTTACGAATTCTTTTTATAAAGTTTATACACCAGTTAGAATTATCAAGAAAGAAATCTAATCTGTTAACTCCTTAGCAATTGAAATATAAATTAGAATTATTCTCCATGTTTGGAGGACACAAAGTTTCACGGATCGCGCCCTGCCCGGTTCGTTCCATTCCGTTCCGTTCCGTTCCGTTCAACTCGTGTTTTGTTTCCTGCACGCTCGATTGTTTTTCGTCCGGCCAGCCGCAATTTCCGGTGCCAGATATCTCTCTCTCTCTTTTTTTTTTTTTTTAATGGAGATAGAAAATTATATACAATGGTATTTCCGTTCATACTTAAAACATCTGTCACAAAATTTATTCGTTCGTTCGTTGCTTTGAATAGAACAAGAAGACAACAAAAATGGCGGGGAAAAAATATTTGAAATTGGCGCGTTTTCGTTGTTTCTCATTCTCCCGCCATATTCGTTAGGAAGTCAAACAAACCTCGAATCGAATTCGAAGTTAACGATCGTTCAAGGTCAAACTTTTGAAGAGAATAAAAAAAAAAAATATTCACACGCACCTTCTCCAATCTTGAAAGTATCTTCCTTTAGAATACTAACACATCATTCTTTTCATTTACTCGATTCCGTTATAAGGGAATGGCAACCACTCCTTGTCATACTCTTGCGAAAACGCAAAGATTCAATGTCATTACTGTTTAACGAACCAATCATTTCTATTTTTTTTTTTTTTTACCACAGTAATAAACGACACGTAGAAAAATGTATAATTTATGATGAAGAAAAAAAAGTCAAGTATTATTTATTTAAATAACAGATAAGTAAAAGCAATAATTAACGTTTTTATCTTTCCCCCAATAATTTGTATAGACATTGATATTCGAAGTTGTGATGTTCGATAAAAGAAAACCGTAAAGAAACGCAGAAGCCATTTATTTCACCCTCATTATCGAATGTCAGACAATTCACTTTTGTACAAAATCGAATTCAAACAAATTCAAGATATTTCAACGTAGAAAAAGTTATTTGGTTAATTCACCATTATTGAATATAATTAATGTGATAAATCAAAAATAAGGAATTTTAATTTGAGAATGTTTATGAAAGTATGGTAATTAAGAATAAATATGTTAATTGATGAAAGTAGTAGTTATTTATTAAAAATAAGATTAGATGATCATTTGTCGTGAAATGTTGAAGATCAAAAAGTGCGTTAAATAAATAGTTGTTATATTGATTTATGTGGGATAAAGTTCATATACGCATAACTATATATATATATATATATATATATAATATGAAAAGTAAACGTTATCGCACATTCTAATACGTAACCGTTAATATTGTATTTAACTCTATGGAAGTAGTTGAGTTAATGCGTTAGTGAAAGTTAGCCGGCGGTTGTTGCGTCGTGTGCGCTCCTTTACATGCTGACTTTTCAACTTATTTTCAATCCACTCCTCCTCTTTCAGTACTTTAAACTATGCGGAACAACCTAAGCACGTAGTTGACTATCATTGAAAAGTATTTTTCTCATTTTTATTATAAATAAAATGATTAAATTAGATAGAAATTATGTACTACGTGAATCAGGAAAAACATTTGTAGAAATAGAAACAAAATAACAATTGTGTCGTATAGAAGAAAAATCTTTCCTCAATTTTTACTTTTGTTTAATATACTTTCTCTAAAAAAAAAGAAGAAGAAAAAATGGTTTAAATATTTTGTGAAAAAAAAAAAACAAAAAGAAAAGAAACATAACCTTACAAATATGAAATAAGAAGAATGAGAATGATTTGTTTGGTTGAAGGAAGGATTTTCTTTCTACGAGTTTTCGAAGCAGTGAGAACGAGCATACCCTCTGGCGACGAGCAGTCTCAGGGCATCTATGTGACCTTCGAAGGCTGCCCATAACGTTGGGGTCATTCCACCTTCGTCTCGCGTGTTGCAGTCCTTCTTAGTTGCTTCCTTCAAAATTTCCAATGCACCGTCTCGTGCAGCCCTTACAATGCAAAAAAGAAAAAAAACATCAATAATAAATTAGTAAAACAAATGAAAAATAATTTATTAGGTTAACTTCTTCTAATCCGCCATTTTGTTAATCACATATATTCCACCATCTTGTTATCTTTTATTTCAAACTTAATTTATGGAACTGAACCAATTTGATTCATTTCAAAAATTTAATTATTTAAAAGTTAAATATTATTTTTCTAAAAATAATATATGTGTGTTGTTGATTTTTAATTGTTTAATAATAATAATAATACGCGTAAATATTAATTCTTCCTTTCTATAGTCAAAACAAACACTGTTTCAAACAATGTTCAAATTGTTTGTAAATTATTATTATCAAACGAAATAAACGAATAATATATAAAAAATGTTTTACACGCAAATTGTACTTAAATAAAATGTTGTCAATCATAAATTGTGATTTCAACATTTGTACGAAATTACGATAATATTTGAGATGCATAAAATAAAAAGGGAAACAACTTAAAAAAAAAAAAAAACGATCTTAGCGTTCATAATGCGCGACAATTGAAGTTAACGAGCGTGTAGTGAAAAAAAAAATGTCTTCGAATATTTGACTTGACGAAAAATAACAGACTCAGTCAGTGGCATGTCATCGAGAAGGTGTCTCAAGTACCTTTCGCTAAACTCTTACACGTTCTCCTGGTCTCTCAACACCCAATTACGTTTAATCTCTCGCGCCAGGTCTCTGATAATCTCTCTTTTAATTATGGATTAATTCGTTCGGCTCTTTTACTTTAACACCTTGTCGAACACGCTCCAACGATTTTCTTCTACCTCGTTCAACCTAACTTTTTCTATTAAAGCTTTCTCCATTCTTACACACACACACACATATACATATATGTACAACAATGTATTGTTAAATATAATTTAATATATTTTTTTTTATAATTAATAGACCTAGTGTTATAATATAAAAAATATTTTTTAGGTTAGGATTGCGTCAGGGTTGCGTTATATATATAACTAGGGGTACGACGCCACGCGTTGCTGTGTGGAAATGTGGTGAATATAATGTGTGAAATAATTCGCGATTAATAAAATAATATTGCGATTATAAATAGAGATATAAACTATGCTATCTTTCAAGTTGGATGAAACTGCACACAGTGTGGAAAATTTGATTAAAATCTGTTGAGTAGTTTAAGAGTCCATTGCGGACAAACAACGTGATACGTAATTTATATATATTAAGATTTGGGTATTGGGATCTCTGGCAGGGGCATGGCGTAGCAATTCGACCTATCTACTCTAATTTTGAATTTAGCTACCAGATAGCGTATTCAAGTGTTAGAGATCTGATTTATAATATAAAAAATATTTTTTAGGTTAGGAATACGACAAGGGCTTTTATTTTATTTTATTTTCAAATAAAAAATGAAATTTATAATTCAATTTTGTATTACAAATAAAAAATGTAGCTTGTTGATGTAATAGAAATAGAAAAGAAGATTATATTTTGATAAATCAAAATCATATGTGTAATTGTTCGTCAGTGATTTAAACCAACACAAAGCAATTAGATATTAATCTTACTGGGAGAAATGAAACTAGGACAAAATTGTATTCACGTTGGAAAAAAAAAAAAAGGGACAAAAGGAAGTGACACGAACACGTACGAGATTATATTCAAAAAGTTTTAACGAGTTTACACGCTACCCAAGTTTTATTTCCAGATTTCCATACAACCTTTTTTTTCCAACTAGTAGAAAATAATATTATTTACTGACAATCTTATCCTTACATTTTCATGTCTAACTATTTACATATCTAACCTAACTTTTTCCATTCGTGACGATTTAAATCAAACCCTCCCGTAAAGAGTACAACAAATAATTAAACAGTGTATAACAAGAATCGGAAAGAAATATTATCAGGTTATCGAATTAATGTTGGATTCATTAAATAAGGGTGGAATTTATATTGTGAGGTTACATTTTTTTTCAAATAATAATAATAACCTATATATATGCATAATGTACTGTGTAGACTATTTGTGTGTTTTATTTTTTCATTTACTGGAGAAACGAGAAACTTATTCGACTACGAAGGTATTTATTAAATATATATATATATGTGTGTGTGTGTGTGTGTGTGTGTGTGTGTGTGTGTGTGTGTGTGTGTATGATGGTGGTAGGCTATGAATTTCTAGCGGATTGCTCAGCCATTGGCGAATGGCCCTAAGAACGCGAGAGCCTGGTAGAACTCGAAAGAATTTGCTAGGGCGGCATACACACACATACACACACAACAACAACAACAAACCCGTACTGCTGCACTAGAGTTTCCGATATCGGAATCGTAAGTCGACTAATAAGAAGAAACCAGCCGGAGCGGTTTCAGACTTGGGTATAACAAAAGAACTACAAAATATATTATTCCATTAAAACCCATGAACGATGATATCTAACGTCAACGACACGGCTCGTTTAACAGCAAATAACTAACTATTTGCGATGGATTGCAATACTTATCATCTTTGTGATATCAGAGGATATTGAACAAAAAATAACCCATAAAATAATATAATCGAAATAATAGTAATATATTTGATTTCTTTTGGTGTTTAAATATATCTAAGAAATATGATAGAACCTATGTGAATAATTGTAATTGGTTAGTTAATGTATTAATGAATTCAATATGGCGGATTTGTCGTTTCGAAAAAATTTGTTCTATTTAAATTGTATATTTAAGTATTTATTATGTGTTTATATGTTATTATAATTATTGTAATAATATATAAATATAATATATATTATTTTATTATATTTATTTAGATTTATTTTTCCTTTTTTACAAGTGTTATATGAAAATTCCAATATGGCGGATTTGTCGTTTCCAAAAACTGTTCTCTTTATTAAAATTACATATTTAAGTATTTATTATGTATTTAGTATGGTATTACAATTATTGTAATAATATTTGTGCAATATAATTTGTATTTAGATTTATTTTTTTCTTTTTTAAAAATGTTATATGAAAATTCCAATATGGCGGATTTGTCGTTTCCAAAAACTGTTCTATATTGAAACAATTTATTTAAATATTTACTATGTTCATATGTTATTACAATTACTGTAATGTAATTTGTATTTAGATTTATTTTTTTCTTTTTTAAAAATGTTATATGAAAAATCCCCCAATATGGCGGATTTATCTTCACAAAGTTTTCTCTATAAATAATTGATATTTGAATATTATTTAAAATATGTGTTATATTTTTTGTTCTTGTTCTATATTTTGATATCTAACACGTGCCATCGTGAACAAGCAAACACTTATACTACTCTCTTAAAGGTGTTATGTGTTTGTGTGTTGTATTGTGTTGTTAGACGGACGATAAATTTACGCGTTGAATGAAACAAAAGTAACCTATCTCCCTCGTGCATAAATTCAACGTGCGCGTGCTCGATGCACGCATTGCATTTGCAATAAAATCTAAAGTCTTTCTCTATGTTTTATTAAATACATGCTTCTAGGTAACTAGGTATAAGAATATATTTCTTTATTATTTCCTTAAATACCATTTCCCACAATTATTTCTTAATAATTCAATCTCACTGATTTCGTTCTAATTGGATTATTAGAAATTTCATTTCGTATTATCTCAATTATTTCATTTATTATACCACAAAAATTAGACGCCAATTAGACAACAATAACAACAATAACAAAAAAAAATGATTTATATATTAACGAGATCAAATTCTTGGAAAACTTTCGTTTGAACGTTTCCTGAAAAAAACGAACTGGTGGGGGGGGAAGGTCAAATTGGCGGGAAAAAATAAACCAACGCACCTCGTTAACTCAAAGTGTAAGAGAACAATAAAAACCAAAAAAAAAAAGAAAAGATAGGACACAAAAATGATAATAATTTGAGTTATAAAATTGCGATAATAATTTCATTCAAGCATAAAATCCAATTTTGTTATTATAACCATAAAATCCAATAATGTTGCAAAAGGATCGGACATCGATTGGAATCCATAAAACTTCCCTTATAACATTTTTTGTTTTGTATTATTACGATCTTATTCAACCAACCTTTCTTTCAATATTTTTTTTATTTGATATTAAATTATTAGAAAAACATTAAGTACTAAATAAAATAAAATCAAATGAAACAAAACAATACAAGTGGAATGATCTACCCGAATGATTTTCAGTTGAGCACGTCTTTGTCGTCGAGGCTAAGCGAACGCATCGAAGAAAATAATAATAATAATAATAATAATAGTAAGCAGAAGAAGAAGAAGAAGAAGAAGAAGAAGAAGAAGAAGAAGTAAAACTCCCTTGTGTAGTACAGGTAAGAAGGTATATAAAGCCAGTTCCTTTTGCAAAAGGAAAACTCACTTGTGAAACCGTTCCGATGTCATATTTCTTCCTTTTCCTTGTGATCAATATATATATATATATGTATATTAGTTTCCTAAAAAATTTGTTTTAAACAAAAATTAAAACACCATCCTCCTTTCCTCCCTGTTCCCCTCAGTCCAAATTTTTAGTTGTTTAATTCCTAGAACACTTGATCGAACGTTTGATCCTTCGTTCGAATAAAAATTAATTGAAAATGTGTTTATCAAAGAAACACAATTTATTTCGCGATTTATGAAAGAAATAATTTAAAAGGATCAAAGAGAGGTGAGTGTAAAAGAAAGAAAGAAAGAAAAAAAAATATAAGAAGAATAGAATCGGTGGTGGTAGTGATGGTGGTGGTGGCCTTCGGCCACGGAGCCGAAGTTGGGACGTGCGTCGAGTATGGCGTCCACCGATAGACTGTTTTAAAACGAACGAACACTCACCTAACCAACCCATTGCTTTCCATCGGTTTAGAGAAGATCCTTCTTCTCCCTACCCTTTTACCATAAACTCCCCTTTTACTATTGCTATCTTTCTTTAGTCAGTTAATTTAATCAATTCTACCTCTCTCTCTTACTCATTCGTTTATTCCCGCCTCTTTTTCTTTCGCTCTTTTCTCATTCACTCTCTCTTTCTCTCTTTTTCTTACGCACACCTGTGTCAGGGTATATCCCTTTTCCCCCTCTCCTCGTCTTTACTTTCATTGCTTCAGGTAAAACTCATCTGCGAACACCTGGCTTACGATTTACCGACTGTACCTTCAAACTTATCAACCGAGTTTTAAAATGTTCAAAAAAAAAAACAAAACAAAACAAAAAACTGTTTTATCTATCGTCGATCTTTTTTTCCTTTTTTCTTTTTCCTCCATTTTATTTATGTAACAAATTAATTTTAGATTTTTTATTTTTTACTTTTTTTTTTTTATTTTTATATTTACGTGTCATTTATTTATTTCTCTATAGATAAAAAAAGATTAGCGTAGTAAGATTAATGAATAATATATGCATACGTTCATTTCATATTTTTTGTTTTGTTTATAAATTGATTTCAGATTTTAATTGAAATTGTTTTTTGTTTGTTTGTTTGTTTGTTTGTTTGCTTGTTGAAGAAAGATAATTTAAAAAAAAAAAACAAGAAAAAATGATTTAAGGAATGTGCATATTATTTTATGATTATGGTTCACATAGAAATACTACGAGGTTCATATTGGTACTACGAGAGTTTAGAAAAGTCTTAAGATTGGACGAAAATATTATCTTAAAGATAATCCTCAACCAATCCGATTCTTTCTCTAGAAATCCAACAGATGTATATCTCATTTAAACTAGATAAATAACACATTTTTAATATAATATTTATCTTTGTTTGGATCAAAATAAAATAGTCAAATGAATGATTGTAAATATATCGTAATCGTAATAATTTATAAATAGTCACACCCCTTACATCGATAAGATAAATAAAATCAGATAATTATCATTTCTATGATGTAAGATAAAAAAAATATTAAACGATAATACAATATTTACAAACACTAGAATACAAAAACAAAACAAAATGCAACAGACATAACATAATTTATCAATGAAAGTATAATTACGTTACTGTTATCAAATGCATTGTTTGCATCACATTCCTTTGTGTTTTTTTTTTCTTTTTATACAATAAAATACGATAAATCAGATATTACATTGTGTAACATATTACGATTGATTACGACACCATTAATATTATTATTTTCTAACCGAATGGAATAATCAAATATATACTTGTCCAATTTATCTAGAAAGATAAAAATTGGTTTTAAATGAAAACACTTTTTGTTTTCTGTGACGTTGGCTTTGGTAAGAATTGTTGTTATTGGTTCCCTTAAAAAAAAAAAAAAAACACATGAATAATATTCATGCGTACAACCATACTGTATATCCTCTCTGTCTCTTTCTATCTTTGTTTTTTTTTCACTATTCACAGGTATGTGTATAATATTAAGGGGATTCTAAAATCCCCAAGCATAGCCGATATCCAACAAAGTTGGGATTAGCATGTTAACATAAATCCTCTGTGTTGTGTGTGTGTGTATGTGTGTTAGTGACACATACATGTCGCTTAAACGTAAATCCATTGATTTGTGTTTTAAAAGCAAAAACTATAAAGGTACAACTAACACTATCTTAATTATTTGATTAATTGTAATAATAAATCATTTTAATTATTGATTTACAAACAATTATTATTATCCATTGAGACAAATCGTACATATCTTTTTTTTCTTGTTCTCTTGCTTAACTGGGAATGCTAAAAGTTTATGTCAAGGTGGGTCGGTCAGAGATAACTGTAAAATGTCATTGACGAATGTGTGTCAGGCATGGAGTTGACGCTCCTCGATGACACTTGTGGAAACAATCGACTCGAAAATCCCGCAATTTTCAATTTCACTAATTGAGGAATTATTTTTAATACGAAATTGAAGTACGTAAATGTTCTGTATTTTTATTTTTTTATTTAATATAATTTTTTTGTTTCTGTATTTTTTTTTTAGTAATTACTTGTACTTTAAGAAATAAGAAAGAAAGAAAGAAAGAGTGTTAACAAACAAACAAACAAACAAACATACACACACATATATATATATATATATATATATATATATATATATATAATTATTATTAAATACATTGTTTTTTTGTTCAATTTGTTCATTTTTGATCTCCTGTTATAGAACAATTGTTTATCTTCAAAAATGCATCCAATACTTCAACAGCAATACCAAGAGATCTTCCAACTTTTTGACAGATGTTTCAGTTAATGACAGACATAGGATTGTTCCTGAATTTTCTAATCATCATTACATCCATGTATAGAGTGTGTTTCTTATAATAATTATTTTCAAATGTTCTTTTAYGTCTGTCTGTCTCTTCTGTGTTGTATCGTTTGAGCATGGTTTTTGTTTTTACAGAACAGTTGTTTGTATATTTGTTGTTTTTTTCATGAATATCTCTTTGTACCAATTACCAAGTTGCTTTATATTTTGGAAGATTTTATGTTTCTAGAATAGAAGCATGTCAATTGTGTTCTTTTAATGATATATCAATCTTCCTTTTTTTTTTCTTTTTTTCTTTTTTACATATTGAAAATAATTCTTTGAATTTACAGATAAAAACCGGTAAAAACATGGAGGGACCAGAAGTTACATTTCTATTTCAATTTGGTTTAACTCGTGACACTGTCACAGTAGAAGCTAGCACGTTGACATTAAAAGCATTGAAAGATTTTGCGTGTAACTTTATAAATGCCAAGTGTCCAGATCATGGGTTAAGTCATCTGTATGAAAGATTACTTCTGTTCAAACATGATTACAGTTCTACTAATATTTTACAATTAATAACCAATGCAATGGAGGTTGTGGATGAAACACTAGTTGAAATTGTTCTAACTGGTAAGTTCCAAATATTATAATGTATATATATATATATATTAATAAATTAAATATAATATGTATAAAATTTAAGCTCAAGTGCCAAGTGAAGATGTTCCAATTCGTCCTCATGCTTTAACCGTTCATTCCTATAAAGTTCCAACATTTTGTGATTTTTGCGGAGAGATGTTGTTTGGTCTTGTACGACAAGGTCTTAAATGTGAAGGTAAATATTGAATATTGTTCAATTTATTATATATATACAGAACATTTGAATAATATATATATATTCTTTTATTTAACAGGTTGTGGTATGAATTATCATAAACGGTGTGTTACTAAAGTACCTAATAACTGTTCACAAGATGGCAGTCAAAGGAGACGTAGTTCTGCAATGTTAAATGTGCCAAGATCCCCAAGTCAAGGTTCTACAAGTAGCTTGACTAGCATTAGTGATGACAATCATAGTGCAAATAATATACCCAATGTAAATCAAAGTAATAATACTTTGGTAAGGATATCATAACATTGTAATAATTAGTTCACTTAATTATTTTCTAATTAAATTTGAAAAACATAGTTTTGATTGATTCATTTTATAGGCAGTTCCAAGCATAGTCACTCCAAAACAATCTCGTTCACCGTCATTGAGTGGAAAAACAATTTGGGTTGAAAAAGAGGTTGCTACTCGTATCAAAATTCCACATACATTTGTATTACACACGTATACACGTCCAACGGTTTGTGGGCATTGTAAAAAATTATTAAGAGGCTTATTCAAGCAAGGCCTACAGTGTAAAGATTGTCAATACAATGCTCACAAAAAGTGTATTGAAAAAATTCCAAAAGATTGTATTGGAGAGAATCCACGTGACAGTACTGGTACATAAAATATTTATAACAATCATTATTATTATTATTACTTTTGAAAATGTATTCTTAACATTGAAACATGATTATTTTAGGTAATGAATATCCTGACAGTGGTGTTGGTAGTGAACCAGAAGGTAAATGTGATGGTAGAAATGAAGAAGGTGATGGAGACAGTGATACAGAATTACTTTTACCAGTTAAATTGCCCACATATATAACGGATGAAAATAAAGCTCCCGATGAATATACAGTAAATATTATTTTGTTTAAATAAAAATGTATATATATATATATATAAATATAAAATAATACTTTTATTGTATTTTTATATAGGATCACATACAAACGAATGAAGATGTTAATTATGATGAATTCCAAAAATCCAGACCATCTAGGTATGTTCCTTCTATTTGTATAAAAATGACTAATTTCCAATGTTGTAAAATAATATTTGTTCAGTTGCAGTTCTACACCAAGTAACAACATTCCATTAATGCGTATAGTTCAAAGTGTTAAACATACAAAACGACGTGGTTCGAAAGTTTTGAAAGAAGGTTGGATGGTACACTTTACGAATCGTGATCCAGTGGTGAGTTGAAGATGATTCAAATTTTCTTCAGACTTTAAATTAACGATACTTAATGGGTTACAGAGGAAAAAACATTATTGGCGATTGGATACTAAAGCTATAACACTTTTTCAAAGTGATAGTAGTTCTAAGTATTACAAAGAAATTCCACTAGCTGAAATTTTGTCGATTGAAACTGCTAAGATACTTCGTTCGCGTGAGTGTTCAATTATATAAATTCATTATAATCAAATATATGTATATGATTTGAAATATTTAAGAAAAAAAAAAAAAATAATATATTGATTTTAGCTATAATGCATTGTTTTGAGTTAAAAACATCAACTGTTGATTATTTCGTTGGAGAAGATCCAACTTATGGTGAAAACAATGGTCAAGTTCCAGCATCGGAAAGTGGTATAGGTGTACATGTAGCTAGATCATGGGAAACTAATATTAGACAAGCACTTATGCCAGTAACTACAGCTTCTACTAGTAAGTCAAGATTATTATTGTCATCTTATTAATATATTAAAAAATAAATGTCATTTATATAATAGTAGATCAAGAGGAATCAACAGAACCGGAAGAAAATATAACTGACATGTCACAACTCTATCAAATATTTCCCGATGAAGTTTTAGGATCAGGTCAATTTGGTATAGTTTATGGTGGTGTACATCGTAAAAGTGGTAGAGCAGTTGCCATCAAAGTTATTGATAAATTACGTTTTCCTACTAAACAAGAAGCACAACTTAAAAATGAAGTGGCCATTTTACAAAATCTATCGCACAGCGGGGTCGTCAATTTGGAACGTATGTTTGAGACACCTGAAAGAATATTTGTTGTTATGGAAAAATTGAAAGGTGATATGTTAGAGATGATATTAAATTCAGAAATGGGACGTCTAAGTGAAAGAATAACAAAATTTCTCATAACACAAATATTGGTTGCATTGAAACATTTGCACAGTAAAAATATCGTTCATTGCGATTTAAAACCTGAAAATGTTTTACTCAGTAGTGACAATGAATTTACACAAGTGAAACTGTGTGATTTTGGTTTTGCGCGAATTATCGGAGAGAAAAGTTTTCGAAGAAGCGTTGTTGGAACACCTGCATATTTAGCACCAGAAGTATTGAGAAATAAGGGCTATAATCGTTCATTGGATATGTGGAGTGTAGGAGTTATTATTTATGTATCATTAAGCGGTACATTTCCATTCAACGAGGAAGAAGATATCAACGAACAAATTCAAAATGCTGCATTTATGTATCCACCTACACCATGGAAAGAAATCTCATCTGACGGTAAACTTATATTATAAGAAATTATCTATTTATTTATAAAAAAAAATCATTCGCGTTACTTAGGTATTAACGTCACTGCAGCAAAATTCCTCTAATGCGACCCAATCTACACCTTAAATTTAAAATCAAAACACATTCAAAATTCAAAACAGTTTATTTATAAAAAGTAGTCACACAATCGGATTTCGGTGAAAAATGGGGGCCAATATAGAATTTAACTTTTACCTGATGCTGCGGCCATAACCCTGACGAAACCCTAACGAAATCCTGACGCAACCCTAACGGTTGTTGTATGCGAACAACAAGATTGCTCTTTATTGGCGCATTAGCGAAATTTTTGCTACAATGGCGTTAATACGTAATTACCAATAATTCTACTAAATCTTCATTGGGGACGTCTATTATTTTCAGCTATCGATTTAATTAACAATTTATTACAAGTAAAACAAAGAAAAAGATATACGGTGGATAAAAGTTTACAACATGTTTGGTTGCAGGTAAGAAATATTGAAATATAATCAATTTTGCATTTATTTTCTTAAGTAATAAACATTAATAATATTCATGTGCTGTCTAATAGGATTATCAAACATGGTGTGATTTAAGAGAATTGGAAAATAAAGTAGGATACCGTTATTTAACTCATGAAAGCGATGATGCACGTTGGACAGCATACGGTGATCATTGTACATGACAGAACCATCCGCCTACATTGAACATCGAATCATTGCCAATACCTTTGCCAATACACAAAGGCTGGGTTCGTTGTGCTCGAGCTACGTTGCGACGATTCATTCGTGCCTGAATTGATACACAACAAGTGCATGCAAAATTAAAATTAGACTATATATATATATATATATATATAAATCATCTTTCGCTTTAAATGTATCTATTTCTTAGATACGATATAGATTATCGTAATTATTAATCTATCTTAAAAATTACATAATAACAGATATTTCAAGAATTTTCATTGAAAACGTATAATGTTGAATCTAATAGATCTAACACAAAAAAGAAAAAGAACACAAAAAAAAGGGCCTTTCCAGTCTTCGCAAAGATAATATACTTCGTTTTTATAATATATATATATATAATCGTCTCTTCGTACAATTTTTCAAGCATTCAATGTTCGAATAATCGTAAGTGAATTAATTAATATTCGATAGAGGAGCTATATTTGAAATATTGAAACTAAGCTTTCAGCCTTACGTTGTTTAATACGCGTATATTGTTATAAGAAACAAAAACAAGTAGAACTCAAAGCGAAATATGTTAGTATATATATATATATATATATATAATATATAATTATTCAAGTATTATTATATTAAACACGATCAAAAATTAATAACAAATGGAGAAAAGGAACGTAATAGAAGAATAACAACAACAACAACAAAAAACAAAACAAAAAGAAAGAAAGGAAAAAGAAAAATAAGGATGATGAAATCTATTTGTACAAATATTTTGAACAAAAGAGAACAAAAAGAAAAACAAAATAGCAGTCAATAAGTTTGAATTCCATTTAAGAAAGCGCATAATGCTGCAACAAAAAACATTCCTCCTCGTCACAATCTTTGTAAGTATAAATTATTAATAAATTATAGAAGAGACAAAAATTAATAATATTTGCATGTAAGTTATCAACAAAAAAAGAAAAAAAATTCTCAATAGCATTTAATAGAACAAAATGAAAAATGAATGTAGAAAATAATTATTCAAATTTCTACATTGCATTTATTGTTACGATATATTTCTTACCGCTTGCTACCAACATACAAATCTATTTGTTAATTATTAATTACATACATATATATATATATATAAAGTATATCTATATGGTAGTACATTGCACGTGAATACGTGCATACAAGGACGTTGCATTCGCAGAGTTAACCAGTTAAGTGTGGCGATTTGTGCGCAGAGTGCGCGCGCTCTGGTGTGTGAACGCGATAATCAAGCGATGCCGGATATAGTCGTCGAACACGCTTAACTGGTTAAACTATTTGAATTGTTGATACAAAAAAAAGAAGAAGAAGAAAAAGAGAAACAAAGAGAACAGTTTTGTATGTCGATAAACAAACAAAATATATTTAAACAAAAAACAAAAAAAACTATTCTTATCTCGCACGAAGCTAGAATTGCGTGGTACTTAACTGCCAAACGAATTATCTCGTTTTAAATTTTCTTCCTTGAAAAAAAAAAAAGTAATATAATTTCGAAATATTTTTTTGTTGTAATTATTTGTTGATAGAAGAAAAAATGAAATTAATTAAACAAAAATTTGTTCTTTCGCATACGTAATAGAATACAATGTTTTGTTTTGTTTTGTTTGACAAACTTTTGCGTAGCTTAAATATACAGTATTTAATTTGATTGTTTTTTTTTTTTGCATTATCTTTTATACAAAATATGATATTGTGAGATCTTTTTAGAACGTACACGAATAATATTGAACAATTCAAAAAAAAAAAAAAAATCGGATTGAAATTCTATGTTTTTATTGATATTATAGTTAGTAAGTATAGATAAATGATATATAGAGCATTAATATATCGATAATAATATCAATTAATATATATATATATATATATAATACTCTATGATATTATAATACTAACATTTTAATTTTTACAAATGAAAATGAAACGAAACAAAAAGATGTTTTATTTTTCATGCTTTTTTATGTACTCATATTAAATACTATTATTAGAATGAAAATTTATATCAAGGCTTCTCAAGCTTCTTTTTCTTTTTTTTACAACTATGGATATAGATTTTACAGTATTTTCTTTTTTAATATCATAAATTCATTGATATACTATTTGTACAATTAATTTTTTATCATTGTATGTTGAAAACTTTGTTATTTATATTTAAATTCCTGTGATCCTCTCTGTAATGGAGTTGAGAATCAAATTTTGAGAAGTTTCGATCTATGTAATATAAATTACATGTTTTTATATTCGTTTGCAAATTTGTCTAAATTTATACATGCATTCATTATACATATACATATGTGCCAGTATAAAAAAAAAGATTTGTAATATAACGAGAATCCACATCATGTATATTCAAAAATCTTCGAAAAGTTTGAATTCTCTATAAAATGGCATGAAAAAAATTGCAGCTGTATTTTATAAGATTAATAATGTTTAAATCATATGTTATGTAATATTATTATTATTATTTTTTTTTTTTTATACAACTGTTGTGTGTATCTCTACCAGCGAATAATTATTATTATTATTGATATTTAAGGATATAAAAAAAAAATCGAACATTCCACATCGCAGCAAATATAATAATTATTAAATATAAATGATATTCCATTTGTTAATTTATACGGCAATGATATTATACATTTGTTAATGCACATTGCAATTATACATTTTTTATTGATTTCAAAAAAAAAAAGTTCTGTTTATAATTTTATTTATTATTAAGAAATAACGATACAAGTAGTAGAACGGAAGGACATATATACATATATATATGGTATAGTTTTCAATTTTCTCTTGACTATATTCAAATATATTACTACTATATATATTATCTCAAATTTAAAAAAAAAAAAAAAAAAATATTAA